ATAGTAGTGAATAAGTACATACTTGGCATTAGAATTAGATTAAGAAATCAAAATCTTTGATAATGGAAAATACTTCCAGTTTAAAGCTTTTGCATTCTTCTATACAGAGTTGTCATTTACTACTCTGGCATATCTGTAATGCGATTGTGTCAAGATTTTTGACATAAGGTGAAAAATTGTGATATTTCAAGGATTACAAATTAATGTATTTCAAGCCAATAGCAGAGGAAAATGTATCAAATGTATGAACCAATGGTAGAGAATGATTCAGAAGCTTTTGTAGTTTTTATAGCAAAATGCAATTTCAGTGAATATAATTAAATCCTTTCAAATTTCTATGGTTATATGAAGACCCCCCCCTCCCCCCTTTTCCCTTATGGTAAACGTTTGAGATTTTCATTTGTTAAATTTTATACATGTGTATTGTAATATATAAAATACACCAGTATTGTGCATTGTTTTCAGGGTTTGAAGAAGCAAGTTTTGAGAGAGCTGTACATGCATCTAGGATCTGGGAACCCAAACTTCTACTTAGACCTCAAGAATTAAGTAAGATATAAAAAAAAATCAGGAACTCTCAGATTTGAATTCCAGCTTTATTGTTTCCACGAATTTCTCATTATTCTGAATTGTGTCAAGATTTTTGTAGACTGATATATTATTCAGAGCTTATTCTTATTATTTAAAGAATTTCATGAGAATGTTGAACACAAACTACATTAGCTGCAGATATACATATTGACTACAGCATGTGTCTAGAATAGTGAGTGAAGGGTACTGTAAATCACTTTTTATTCGCGAGAACTTTATTATCGCGTAATTATGTGAGACGGTATGATCGCGAAAATTTCATTTTCACGTATAATAGAATTCCTTAAGATTATGTAGGACAATGACAACAATTCGTGAAAATGTTGTCTCACTAATAAAGAACCAATGACTATCTCGCAAAAATAAGGTGTCGCGAAAATTAAGTGATCTACAGTAGTTGATTGACCAATGCTAGAAAGTGGAGAAATTCTCCCCAAAAGTGCACAAAAAATGTTGTGCTGTAAATTGCACCTATTTTGCATTACGGGATCTGTAGCGTTATGGTCAAAGACAAATATATAAAACCATAAAGCTACAGATCTGCAGCTTAAACTTCATGAACTATGGCTGTCAACTAACTTTATTCATAATAAATTTATTTCCACATAATTACCAGTATGCAAGATAGTATGCTTTCAAAAACTTGAATCCCTTTTTACAGATTATGTACAACAAAAACCTTAACTCTTTAAGAATACAAATGCTTGTCTTACAAACAAATTAATACCTACTTTGCAAAGATAAGGTGCCATAAAAATTCAATTACAGAGCTGCCAACTCTTACGATTTTGACGTAAGGCGTACGAAATCAGCGTCTAAAATACACCTTACGATTTCCCTCTATATTCTTCTGATTTCGCTTTTTCTCATTCAAAGTTAATAATATCGGAATTTTCATAGCTGGCAGTTTATAGTTTCTACTATTAAAAATATATTCATAATCCTTACAACGCTTGCTTGTATCATCCTTTCAGTTTTAGAAGGCCAATCACATTCATGTCAATGTTTTAAAGTAAACATCATGGAAACATGTCCATTTACAAAAAAATCTTCAGCAGCAGGGGGCCTAGGCAGTCCCTCGACCCCGCCTTACTATTTGTCATCTCGGAATGTTGGCAGCTCTACAATTATCTACAGTATTCAAAATAAAAAGTTGTGTTTTTTTTTTAATCAGGACACACACAGATTCGAGGATTTCACATCCGGCGTGACACGGGGACAGACACAGGGAGACAGGACCTGAGTGATGTAAGACTGATGTGATGTTATCCTTAACAGTGATTGGATGTAATGATTGTCAATCTTCAATATGATTGGCTGATTAGCTGTTCCTGATCACTGATTGGCTACTGTACTGTTTGTTGCTGAGCTTTGATTGGGATTGATGTGCAATCCCCTGTCACTGATTGGCTATTGTAATGTTTGTTACTGAACATTGATTAGGGTTGATGTACAATCCGTTGTCACTGGTTGGATATTGTAATTTATGTTACTGAACATTGATTGGTTGATTTGCTGATTGTCCCTCATCATATAGATCACTATGTGTGGTTGAAATTACAATGTCTAATCTTTTTTTTTCAGATCAAAAAGATCTTGACAAATTTTGAATCAAGGCTACAAGCAACCTTGAAGGTAACTCAAAATAAAAAAAAAAAGTACATGTTAAGAGCCATTCTCTATAATGATTTGAAATTTTATATAGGAGCTGTGGCACGCATAGTCTCAGAATTTCTCTAAACTCCCTATGATGAAAGTCATTGATACCCTAAACTGAAATTAGGCAAAAATTGGTTGCTATGTTTTATAGTTACCATGGCAACATGTCTTAAAGTTCGAAAAATGGCATTTTTAACATGTTTAGAGCCCCATAGTTAACATTTGCGGTAAAGCAAACAATTGGCAATGACTGTTTCCAAAAGTTGAAGGTCAGATGTCTCAAATGCATGATAAACATGTTTGGTAAATCAACTATTACATACGTTACTATGGTAACAAAGTATCCAAAAGTAAAAAAAGATATTCATTGAATTTCATAGTCATACACGTAAAAATAAAAAGCAATTATAGGATGAAATGTGATCAAATAATAGAAAAAAGAGCGTTGAAACATATACCAAGAACAAAATATGATATTTCATTTTGGTTGGCAATGGTTGCCAAGGTTTTTATACCACAGAGAGACTTCAAAGTAACACTGTATTTTTAAATCTGATCCTATCTTTTAAAAAAGCACATTTCCTCATCACTAATGATCAATTTTTAAAGATCTTAATGTGCTCCTAGTTTTCCCATTTGTAAAAATTCAGATTAGATTCTTTAAATAGAGCGTTGCTATGGAAATAAGCAGAAAAAATATGCTTAAAAACCTGAAAAATATTTTCTTTCCTTCAATACGTACCCTTAAATGTAGATTCCCAAATCTTTTATGATTGATATTTATTAACAGCTAACCTGACTTTTAATTTTGACTATCATCCAATCTCTAAGTGGATGCAAGAAGTTGATACACAGGGTTTAATATTGATATAAAGGTCACAAAATCGAACATTTTCCCTTCTTGGTTACCATAGCAACAGTGTTGTTTTCTAAATCAAATTTTATCAATATATAATATTCAACTTCAGTTCTAACAGATAAGTACTATTCAAGCTGAGTCCTTTAATTTGTTTCTTGAGTATATGGCAATTTAATTCTTATTGCAGCGAAAAATAATTCACTTTTAAGCACTGGTACTTTGTTTCCATAGTAACACTGCAAAGTAGCAATTATACCCAATTTTTCTTATGGTTTTGGTGTTTCAAGGTCCTAAGAATGCATATTTGCCAGTCTTGAATTTTCATGTTTGTCCTCAAGACAGAAGCATTAACCCAATCTTAGTTACTGGTATTGCATGGTTACACTGTGTTACCATGGCAACCAAAAAAAGTTATTTATAAAATAATATTGCTTATACTTATATACTTAAGGTAAAACATTTTTATTGTTTTTCTTAAGTCGTTGATTGAGTTTGAGCATGTAACACCTACCATTAGTGAATACGGAGTTTTTTTCAGCATATTTCAGCATTTTAAATGTATTCCAAATGTACCCTTGGTTACCACTTACTTAGAGATATATTCTAAACAGTTTCTTTACAGTATTAGTGACATCAAGGTGTCATGTTTCTGTGAGAATGGTTTGTTTGCTTTTTCTAGTTTTTATTAAGCCACAGTAAAGATTTAAAGTGGCTGAAAATCTCGATTTTTCAAACTTTTCCGGCTGTTGCCATAGCAACCGAGACAATTAGCAACGAAATTTTGTTTGATATTTGTTTCTGGTGTCAAGTACTAAGCATGGGTGAAGTTTCATCAAAATCGGCGACCATGCGTGGCAACAAAGTTTAAGTGGTTACAGAGAATGACTATTAAATCTTGGTGTATATATGTACATTATTTGAAATGGAAAGAAAGGTAAACATTAAAGCTTTGAAATTAAGATGAAGAAGCAGAGTTGAGGTTGAAATCAAATATAAATACAGTGTTCAAGTTGATATCTCCTGTGAAATTTATTGAAATAAATAAAAAAAAAAGAGCCATAAATGTTTACTTTTAATGGTATCGAACTCTAGAGCTCAAATATCATCTACCTGGCATCCAATTGAAATCTCTACAAAAATTTACGCGAAAATGTAAGAAACCCTTCACTATAGTTAATGTTTTATTTCTAACAGGACTTTGCAAGCTCTAAGACTAACACGAATGCCGACCTGTTGAAGTCCCAACAGATGCGGGGTCTGGAGGAGAAGTACCTGACCCTGATAGAGCAGATCAAGGAGGAGAAGAAGAAGAAATCCATGTCTCAGGTCCTCAACACGTTCACCAGCTATCTACTGAGGCTGCTGCTCCTCGGCTTTGTCATCACATTCCTCTACCGGTCTAGTGAGTTTAATCATCTTAATCATCATCTACAATGTCATCACTAGGGCTGTGTATTGAGCAAAAAATATTGATATGTTACGATACAATATTTTTTAAAGCGATGTGCGATATATTGGATTCTATAACAAGTCCATCAAAAAAAGCTTATTAATCATTGAATGCATGGATTTCATAAAAGAATTAGTGTTTTATCACCCATTTCAAATTTCCTATCCCATTGTCAGTAAATAAAACACTTCCAATCAAAACTATGAATGACTGCAAAATCAACATGTTAAAATAAAATTGCTATGCAATTTATAATAACTATAAAAACTGTTATTTCTTTAATAAATCTATAATTATTGATCAGTTTTAATTCAAAAAAGTGAAATATAATCTTTGCTGATTAAAATTCCCATCTTCTTAGCAGAATTAGAAGAAAAACTGCTTGTCCGATACGTATTGGAAGTAATTTTTCGATGCGATATTTTTCTTGAATATCGATACATATCGATATATTGATACAGCCCTAGTCATCACATTGCTCTTCCGGTCAAGTGATTGTGATCTAATCATCTACATTGTCATCTAAATCATTATTACATTCCTCAACTGCTCTAGTGAGTGTATTCATCTAAAGAGTCATCTACATTGTCATCAATCATCACATTCCTCTACTGCTATTGTAAGAGTTATCATCTTATCATCACATTCTTCTGTGTAATCATCTAAATCATCACATTCCTTTAATGAACTAGTAAGTGCAATCATCTTAATTGTCATATACATTGTCATCATATTCTACTTCTTTGGCAAGTTATCATTTAAATAATCATCTTACTTGTCATCACATTCCTCTACTGCTCCAATGAGTGTAATAATTTAAATCATTATCTATTATTGATGACAATAGACTAACTAATGTAGATGACTTAATTTTTGCATCACCTTACCCGCGAGAAAGTCGTAAACTATTAGCGTGACAAAATTTTCACTAATTGTGGTTATTGCTTTTTATAAACTTAAAGAATACTAATAAGCATGAAAATGAATTTATGCTAACACACTGTCCAGGGTTATTACCCCAAAATTAAGTTCTCGTGAAGAAAAAGAGATAAACAGTCCTCACAAGCCATAATGGTAAGTTATGCATGATGATTAAATTTTTCCTTTTGTTTGTAGCAAAGTTGTTGAACAACACCAAGACATTCACCATTGTAGACAAGGAAAGCATCAAAGAAAAATTTGAGGATGTGCAGGGAGTAAGTAGTTAAGATGTCAATACTTCAAGGTCTGCCTTCTTAGATATATAATTAATTGATAAATGACTAATAAAAAATATTAAATCCAAGAGGAAATAACTCGATATGCAAAAATATTTCTAAATTTTCGTAAATTCTGCATGAATTATCATAAAATCTGCATATATTATCATATTCATAAATTACCAAATATTGTACAGATGGATGAAGCCAAAGAAGACATGATGGATGTGGTTAAATTCCTGCAAAATCCCAGAAGTTTTACAGAAGTCGGTGCCAAGATACCAAAAGGTAAACATTTGTTTGATGCACAAAACTTTATTTGATGGAAAAAATGAAGGTAATGAACAGTTATCAATCTCAAATAAACAATGTTTGATCCACAAATCCTTGAGTTCAAAAAGGTAAAGGTAACAAGCATGATCAATTTC